ATCTCACTTCTTTGGGGCAGGAGACCAAGATGTCTTTTAACAAGCAAGAGCTGCTTCATTAGCAGTCTCTTAGTACACGTAGGCACCGAATCAAATCACTTTGATACAAGTACCTGAACATGGCAGGAACAATAATGTGTTTTAGCATCTTGCACCAAGAACATCCAATTTTACATGAATTAACAATTTATGCCAAGGAGCTTTGGAAGGAAGGAGAGGAGAGAGAAGCTCTTGAATTCACACGATCAGGCTCCATAGTTACCGTGTCTGAACCAGCCACGTTGCATGATCACAATATGTGCCATTTTTACCAGGCGGGGGGGCAGAATCTAAATGCTGGAAAGATTTCTAAATTTATGACCTTTTGACTGTAGGAAGCTGCACATTAAATGAGACAACTCCTTTAGCTTATGATCCCCCCTTTGTCTTTTAGGTGACCCTTTAATCATCTGATCTCTGGATGGCAAAAGTTAAATGAGCTGTTCTAGTTAAACTAGATGGCAAGAGCTGAAGTTTTCTTCAGATTTCCCCCACCACCACCCATTTCTGTAGGGCTCCTACACAGGTCTATAAGAGTGGCTTTAGCATAGACAAGGAAAGCAAGAGTTGCCAGTTCTGGGTAAAGCTGCCAGCGCTCCCTGCCCTGGGAGCACTCTCCCCCAGTATGCCACTGGCACACAGCGCCGGATGATTCATCTCAGCCGGTTAACTAAAAAGAGCAAAGTCCCTGCCAGACAAGAACTTCTGCAGGTGTGCAGACAGCAGAACCCTGTTAATGGAGTAAAATATTTTGGGAACCTGTGAGCTTGTGTTTTCAGCAGCCTGTCCAGGGCTGAGGGCCCCTTCCCAGGATTCTGCCAAACATCTAAAAGTGTAAGATTCTTGTTTTTCAGTGGAGGGCTGTGTACAGCACACAAGCCACCTGCGGTGAGACATGCAAGCGGCAGGCTGATTCTTCCACTGTATCTTGGAGCTGTACCAGGTAAAGCCATGAAGAGACTGAATTTCAACAAATCAATAAATTAAAGGCCAGAATGTCAAAGAGACATTGTGAAAAAGAGATCCCTAGGGATATTAAATACAAAGATATTACCTCTGGCTCTGGAAACCTCTGAGCCACAGTTTGTGGAGAGGCTGTACCAAGAGAAATATACCTGCACATCTCTGCTGTGAGCTGCAGGGTGCTGGAGGGGCGGCTGTGGGAAGCTGTGATCCCAAAAGGCTGCAGGGAAGCATACTGAGCTAATTATGAAGAGTGGCAAACTCTGTTATCAAGAGTTAAGCAAATATGAATGGCTGGGGTGAGGGGAAACCTCTTTTAAAAAGAGTAAAGAAAATATGAAGGGCTGGGGAAGCTGGCTGCCACAACTGGCAGACGTCTCAAGAAAAAAAAGCAGCATCTGGAAAAATGCAGGGAAAGGCATTGCAGGACGTACAGTCCTTCAAGACAACAGCCCCCAGGTCACAAAACCAACCCTTCTCAGTGGGACTGGAAAGCAGCCATGCTGAGATTGACACATGCTCAGCCACCTCACCTTGCAGGAACCAACACGGGGATAGAGCTGCCACTTAAATCCAGACTACTTTGTGACAGCCTATCATCCAGGTCATAAAAAAGAAAAGGCAGTGTCCCATTTGCCTGGAAGCATTAGTCCCATGGAGACCACCATGTTTTGTTGTCCAAACAATGTAATTGTAGGTCACCTGCATTGTAAGCAATGAGAGTGGAAGTAGAGATGGAGGTAACTTTCTTCAGAGAACATTTGGCCTTTATTAACAGAGCCAGCTGTCCGCCCTGCAGTGCCCATCCAGGGTCAGGAAGAGGCAGGACAAATTTCAGAGGAGCAATTGCAGCCAGCAGCCTCACTGGGGCTCAGGGGGCACCATTTCTGCCTACGCTCAAAGCCTTCGGTCTTCCCACCCTCCTGCAAGCCCAGCAGTCAGACCTGGTGCACCCCTCACAGTGACAGCTCTCACCCTTAGCAGTCCAAATTCCTGCCCAATACCATCTTTGACAACAAACCACCAATTTAACCACCACACATCACGGTAGGGCCTGTCCTGCCGTTGCCTATTCATACCACCCCAAGCTGATTATGGGTCCTGACACATTAGCCCATCACTGTTACGCCCAATGCATTAACAGTTACCGGGTGGCAGACAGCGCTAGCAATCCGCACTCATTTTAACATTTTGTGACCTAGACAAGAGCAACACCAGTTCTTCTGATTTGTACAAGCATCCCTGTTTGAGTTTTAATTGGGATATTACTGGTTAACATGGAATAAAGATGTTCAGACAAATAGCATCCAGGAGAATACCTGCAAAGGGCTGAGCACCTTTTGATATCTGCACAGCACAACCAACCGAAGAGACCACTCATCCATGAGTAATGCTGCCCATGGGCACTACGTTACAGGGTACCTGGCTCCCAGGAGGGTATGTCTGCTGGGCAGGATAGCAGCTCCATGGAGCGGTGTTTGGGTGCCCAGGGTGGCCGATGGACACCCCAAGGGCAGCTCTGGGGTATTAATCTCTGCTTCTTTGCTCAAATCCAAAATCCCTCTGGTTGGATGAGCAGGGCAAGAAAATGCTTTTAAGTGTCACGCTGTACCTGAGCCACTTGCTGTCTTCAAGTCCACGTGCAGTGGAGTGATCTTGCCTGTTATCCACATGGATCACTTGCTCAAGCCTTACAAAGGGATGAGCATCCAGGGAAAAGACCACAGAGGAGCTGGGCAGATTTTTCCCATGGTGAGGGGCAGAGGTAAAAACAACAGGTTTGCTCTTGCTGATGGAAGCACCTTTTTTGGCCTTTACTTGTTATTCATGCTAAAACACAGAAGGAGTGTTTGCCCGTCATTAGTAACAGAGTGTAAGGTTGCAAAAGGTTGGATGGGTTTTAACAACAACGAGGGAACTGGTCAGCAAAAGTCACCAGCTTTTCAAAGGTACGTCTGTCTTCTCAGAGACCCATCACCAGAGCAGATCAAGCAGGTCCAAAGGCTCATCATTTCCCCGAGTTATCACCCACGCCACAAAGCACAGATTCATGGCTTGCCACTGGCACCTACCAAATACACCAAGAGAGCTGTCCCTGCGGCGAGAGCTGCACTAAAATTTAACCCCCATGACCTTGTGACGTGGTCAAGCCACCAAAATGACAGATTTGCCCTCTTGGCTGTGTTGGAAAGATGCGTCTGTCTGTCCCTGGCAGGCAGCAGCTCCTTCCATCATGCTGCAGTGAGCAGGGAATACCCAAGCTTCAAGAGCAACTTCTGAGCTGCTCCACTCACCCATCCTAGAAAAGCCTTAATATTGGCACAACAGCCAAGACAAGATCTTGTACTTCGAGTTCCGATTCTTCAGCCCCATCGCAGCTGTTCTAAATTTAATTGAGACTAAAACAAAAGCGCAGCATCATTTGGCAGAGCTCGAAAAGCAGTCACTGGAAATAACTACGTCAAGACCAGTACATTAAAGTGCATCCTTTCAAGCTTTGTTCAGCAGAGTAACATTTGTTATTGAAAAGAAAAATCACTGCTTTTTGTTTCAGCTGCCCTACACAGGCTGTAATGGAAACTGGAAGCTGGCTGCAGCAGGAGGAAGGTTAAACACAGGCTTAGCAAGGAACAGTTTCACAGGTTGAAGTCTGGAGCAGCATTTTCAACTTCAAACTGAGATGGGAATAACTAAGCACAGATTTTAGCCCAGTACCTGCATATCACCAGTCTCTCCTGATGGAGAACAAGTAGCAGGTAAGACTTCATTACAAGCTGGCAACCCCAGCAACTCAGCTCCTCAGAGCAGGCACGCCAGCCAGCAGAAAGCAAGCAGGCAGCATCTCTCAGAGGCAGCATCCAATACTTCATCAGACAAAACCTACAGGTCTCCAATTATGCAACGATTAAGTGCTCAGGAGGCTGTGAAGTAAGACAGTCTGGGTGTCAAGAGCACAAATTCATTTTTCCCTGTAAGCGGCACTTAGAGAGCTCTTCCCCCACGCCAGCCCCCCTGGCACTCCCCTTCCACCACACAACTGCTCAGCTTAGCCAAGTAACGAATTTCAATATCTTATTACCATGTCAGTTGTTATAACCAAACGCCGATGTTAATAGTGCATTTACCGCTTATATGCTGGCCAGCTCGCAGCACCTTTCACTGCTTTATCTAGGGGCAGCGGTCATACCTACAAGCTCTTACAGAAATTGGGTATCTCCCTTTTAAATCTGGTAGGGAAAAAACCAAACTCTCCCCTGTGCTCCTCTGCACAACCCTCCCACATGTCCCTCTGCAAACACACACTGGTTTGATACATATTTAATTTTCTTGTTATACAACAGGGAAAGAATAGGGAGTAGCTCTTGGGATTTTGGCTAGGAGCTAAAATTAAACTGCTTTTCAGGGTGGAGAGAGGTCCTGGGATTGGACCCCATTGCTACTTTTTCCCATAACTACGTTATCTCACAGCAGAACAGCACTCTCCTTTCAGGACCCCACATCATTTAATGGAGACACCACTGTGTTATTCCCTATCTAAGGGCAAGACAAGGCTTCAGCGAAGTTGTTCAGCTTTCTATAGGCACAGACTGAAAACACGCATCAATACATGTTGCTCCTCAATACATGTGTTCTGGTCCTTCAAGAACCGGACTACTAATATTCACTGATTAGATCTCTTTTGCAAAGCTATTGCAAGATTACCAGGAGGTGGATCCTCACTTATCACTTAGTTATGATTTTTTTTAATGTTCTTTTTTGTGAAATGGCCCCAAACCTGGTGGATCTCGCCATGCCAGCTTGCACACTAGTATCACGTCTGCTTTAAGAATGTATCTCAGCCAAAGAAACAACAAAACCTTTCCCAAGGCTTAAACAGTATCAGCATCAGACGCAGTAAACTGAACAACATTGAAACAGATGTTACTACCTGAAAAAAAAAAAAAGTGATTTGACAAAAGTTCAGTCAAAAAATGTGAAATATGAATGTACAGACTTACCATTTTTGTCAGCTCTTCTGAAGATCTAGAATTGAAAGAGAGAGAGAGAAACAGTTTTACTATGTTGTTCGACTTGAAGGGTTTTTGGTTTCAGTGAAGCCCTTAGCACCAGGACCTTGTTTGATGCGAGGCACAGGACAGGGCCATGTTCTCCAGCCCCCGAAAAGCCAATTCAGGTGCTTTACTCAGCTCACCCTTCCCAAGAAGGACTGTCCACATGTGGACAGCCACCTTCGGGAGAGAGTATCAGCAAGTTTGGCCTTGGAATAACCAGTGGAAAAGGAGCTAACTAGCAAAATAAAGATAACACAAAATGCTTCCAGCAGTTCATTTATTTCCCATCTCCCTTGCAGAAAAAAGCCAAGAACATGGATCCAACACAAGAAAAAAAAAAATTAATACAAAACACAACAGCCGTGCAGCCAGCCCAGCCAATTTCTGTAGCAGCAATAGTACCTCTTAAACCAAGTTTCACAGTCCTGCACTTCTGAAAGATATTATTTACCTTTTTTTTTTTAAAGGAAAGTTTCCTGTGTGGGAAGGAGATTATATTTACAGTTAAAACTACAGTATGGAGGAACAGCTCACAGAGAGGAATCAGATAGCCCTTTCAGAAGGAAAAAAAAGAAAATCACAATAGTGTGTAGTACAGTAGAATTTGCCAGGGAGAAAGACAGCAGAAACAACAGCTATTTTTCTGACTAGTCTCATCTTAGGAATAGTCCCCTGACACAGTGCAATTAATAGCAACAGGCTTGTGCAAGGGCTGAAATCTTACAGGTTACTGCCAAAAATGGCTGCTAGCACAGGTTTGGCCATAAATGACCAGAAAATTAACATGCTCATAAACTGGACAGAAAAGAGAAAACATTCTCATCATCTCTTCAGACCTGGCCCTATTAATTTGAGCAAGAGCAGAGAGTTTGCCTGTACAAAGATATTTCCCTGCAGAGGGAATAAAAACACCAGCAGGACAGATCAGAGTCAGATGTAAAATGGAACCTCTTATTTTCTGGGTCATAAAATCATTACCAAAAAAAACATCAGAAGAGAAACTGCTGCACAAAACAAGAAACCCAAGAGACAAAATGAATTGCAGAATGTGCTATTTAAGTGAATATGGCTTAATTAAGGAACATTAATCATTCTTTTGCCCAAAGTCCTTCCTAGGCCGCATAGGTGAAAGTCAAAGCTGGACTTTCTGGCATACATCGGCAGAGGCAAACACCCTCTGTTTAAGCCAAACCCAAACGGTAGGAATCACTGAGTCCTAGCTTCAAGAGAGGGTCATAAAAACCCTACAAGGATTACAGCTTGTGACCACTCCAAAATTGCTTACTTCTTGGGCTAATCTTCATTTTTTTTAGAGAAATTAGGATTTTCCCCCAAAACTTGTATCTGTCTCCATACTTATGGACTTCTTTGAGGTGGAATATGGGTTTTGAAGGACTGGCCAGTCATGGTTTGTCTATGGGAAGTAAGAATAAAGCCAGCCAGGACAAGCAGGACACCAGCCAGCCCTGTGGCTTCGGCACACATCACCCAGGCATGCACAATATGCCCTGCCCGGAGTATGAAATATTCCTCTTTTCCTGGCTTGGACACCCCAAATCCTCACTCCCCACGAGCACCTCCAGACAAGGCACTTTTCTTTCTAGATGCTGATTATTTCTGGGTTTTTTGTTTTATCACCACATCCTTCTAATACTGTTCCCACTGCTTTGAAACAAAGACATTACATCAAGTCTAACACAGAAGCAGCAATGTCTATTTTAAGGTCCTGTGGGAGATCGCCACCCCGCTAAGCACAACTGTCAGAGGGAGAATGGGAAGGCAAAAAACAATAGGTAAAATGCAGCTTAAAGTGGGAGAAAGGCTCAATCTGCAGCGCTCTGCTCTGTGGAGCCACCAACCTTGCAATGAACTCTCAGAGCAAGAGGAAAAAAAAAAACAAACCATAATTAAGAAATGGAAGAAATGTTAAGAAATGGAAGTATGTGGAAAGTATGGCTATTTGTAAATGAACAGGTTGATGGAAGATCACATCAGCTCTGTTACCTACCAAGGTTTATTCTACAGGACCAAGCTGTTTAGTTTTTATTGCTAATGAGCAAGATTTATTCTTCCAACTTAATTGGACCACCTAAAATTTGCACACACACAAAAATTTAAAACAGGACACCCAGAGGGAAAGCAATTTAAGATAAAGTCATCTGTCACCACAGGCAGGCAGTACATCAAGGTATGAACACTGGAATGAGCATCAGGAGGCTAATAAAGACATAAAATACTCCGTGATAGCTTGGTAATGCTGCCAAAAATGCTGTCTCTGTGAAGACCCAGGATTTACACTCTAGCTCAGCAAACAACAGTGCCCTCCCACACACAACCTGAAGATGCCCTCTGTGCATGTCTTGAATTAGTTGTTCCGCTGCGGGAAGGATATGGTGTGCTTTTAGCAAGGGAAAGGTGCAAGACCTGGTGATGGAAGGGAAACTGCAGCCCCTCACACCTCCCCTATGGACCAGTGGGACAAACCCCCGAGGGCAGCTCAGTGCTGGGCTCCCAGGGAGCTCAGGGAAAGGAAAGCTCCAACCAGCTCCAGGAAGAAGGGAATATAAGCAAGGATGCTGCTTCATCTCCAACATAGAGGGTGCAAAGCCAGTCCACCCTGCAATCGCTCTCTGCAGGCTTGCAGTAACTCCATCAATGCTATTCTCACTCAGCAGCGATGTTGCTTAGACAGCACTGGAGGTTGACGAGAGTGGAGATGATGAAATATTGATGGAGAAAGGCCCTGTCCTGCCAGGCCCTTGGCAGCGATTGGCTTCCCGTGCCTCCACCCTTGCCGAGGACCATCCCCAGCAGCCAAGGGCTTCACGAAACAGGAGCCGGCAGCACCGCACAGCCTGACCAGGGATGCTCTTTCCACTCCATCACCCCCAGTTCTCCAACCATCAGGGCAACGCACCACTTTCAGATGGTAAATGAGAAATTATCCAGTACAAAACGTACTACAGCAACCATCTCCCCCATCAGCTATGCTTTAAACTTACTAAGCAAGTCTCCTAAAGCACAGGCTAAGTCACATGGTCAGCACACAGGATGCCCACAATATGGGCCAGATTAACCAATTTTATAGGATTTACACAGGCAATGCATGCACTTTGCTGTCTGCAGCATACTTATTGCATTTACCAGGTGTTTAGATGAATATAAACTCTATTTTATTTAGAGCAAGGAACCTCTGTCCAGATTTCCAATAGCTTTTTTTAAAAATGTATGTTTTTGTTGCACTCTCAAATAGCTACTACAGATATTTAGCTGGCAGAAGCAAGCAATTCAAAACAGTAGTGGTAATAATAAACTTGAAAAAAATTGATGGTTTCAAATTTAAACATTCAGCTCTGCCTTCTCAAAGCTCCTGGATGAGAATGTGCAACACTGGAGGTTGCTTAATGGAGGTTTTCTCGGCAATTTTATTAAATTCACACAAGCACTTCCCTAACAAGCCTGAGGATTATTATAGGGTTTGTAGAGTTTAATATCCCTTCAGCAGGTTAATAGGATGTTGATTTAAAATAGAGTGCAACAGAGCTAGAATTTTGTTTTCCATCATAATCTTGGTGCAGAATTGAGGACAAATAAAATCTAAGTCTCCTGGGTGAGGAAAGCCTATGGATAAGAAAGCATCCAGATACACAGATATACATAAAAACCCAGTTAATCTGTTCACTATGTTCCTATATTCCTGTTCTTCCTTTCTGTTCCTCTCCCTACAAGTCTCAACACCTCATTTGGAGCTGAGACAAGGTTTTATATCAAGTATGGCCTTTGGCTGAGTAGGAATTTCCTCTCCTGCAGCCTCTCTATATAGCTCTTTCCAGTACTAATGCAAGAAAATAATGACCCAAAACTTTGTTGCTTTGGACTACATGGTTAGACATCATCAGGCTAATGACCTTTCGCCATGCAGGAGAAAGGTTTAATTTTGGTATTTCAGTAAGAAATATGCCATTGGTGTGGAAATACTGTGCCATCCGGAGTGGCTCCCTCTCCAAAGCAAGGCTGCTACAGAGCTCCAGATCTCATGACATCTTTCCCACTCCAAGTCAGATCTCTTTTTTTTTTTTTTTTGTCTCCCCAAGAGAAGAGCAGTTACCACTATACCCTAGCCTCTCATTTCACTTTTACCTTCTCCTTAGACTTTACCTAGCTGTCCTAAATAACAGTTGTGTGATACAGGCAAGAGTTGCATTAGATGTTACCATGTTCACAGCACTAGAAGTGACTTTTCCATAAACACCAGCCCTGGGTGCAGCTCCATTTCAAGCACCTGCTGACAAAGCCCTGAAGAGGAGAAGAGAAAGGATGAACTTTTCTGTGTGATTATGTGCTTTGCAGTGAGCAATCCCCAAATGCACAGAGCCCAGCTGGCCCCTGCCCCTGCTTTCCAGCTGTGCCCTGCCAGCATGACTTGAAAACAAAGCTTTTAGAGCCTTCCCGTTTCACTCAGAGAAGTGAGAAGGTATACGAGGACACACGAAGGGGCATGAATCAACCTTAAAAAAAAAAAAAAAAAAAGCAGAAGGGGATTGAGAAAGGATTCCTGTGGCTGTGATAGCTTAGTTAGGGCTGCACTGGAAATTGCATCATTGACAAAACAGTTGGAAAACTGTGCCAGTTCTTGGATCTACATTTGGAAATGCACACTTGGCACAAACCAAATTCACTGTATTTTCTATCCAAATACTTCACTTGATCCCATGGAGCTGAAGAAGTGCAAATCAGATTTGGCCATGTAAGAGAAGTCATAAGCAGGAGAGCTGGATTTGAAATAATCTTTCTGACCCTGTTGAAGAAGGAAAGAGGCAGATAAGGGTCAAAATTAGTTTTCAGCAAAAGACAGAGCAGATCAAACAAAAAGCTTCATCTGATCTGAAATGAATGGCACTTTCTTTCTTCAGAGGCATTTAAAATAAAGCCAAAAAGCGATGAATTTACTCACTACTGGCAAAGCCGGAAAGGCGGTAGAGATGTCACCACCCCCTGGAGCACATAGTCCTGCCATGGAGATGTTCATCCATACCCAAGGCTGACCTTTACTTTAGATGCCAAGTAGATGAGCTCTTTCAATGGGCTCTCCCTGGCGTAAACCAGACAGGGCACCTCTGCCTGCAGCTGCTGTGGCTGACCAGGTCTTGCACTCACTGGAGTTCACACTCCTGCTGTCAACGCAGGTTTTTGACAGTGACATGAAGGCAGGAAGAGATGAGTAAGGACAGTTGGTAAGTCAGCACTGAAGTACTCCTAGACAGAGCAATACCTGTCTAGACATTTCCCACACCTTGGGAGCGATCCACCTCAGCTCTTTATTGCACGTGAACTCATTCACACTCAGCAAATACCCCCCCACACACTATATTCTCCCTTTCATAAGCCTGGTGACATTTGCAGATTTGTTCTGGACTGGAAACACCACCATCACCACATGTGGATTCAAGCAATGCCATGACAGTTTCAGCTTCCTTTTAATAAAGGGGTTTTGTCCTCCTGGATGCAGACAGAAGCTCAGACCCTTTGGAGGACATCTTCAAGCAGCCCAGAGGGCAGATAGAGAATGTGGCATTACTGTGGTATCATATCATAAGCTGCTGTTAGCCACCAGTTGTCTACAGCAGATTACACATGCTGCCAACCCTGAGCATTTGACTCTTGCAGACAGAGCAACCATGTGCGATAAAGGCCCATGGAGCAAACATCCAGAGGCAAACACCTGAGGGCAAGCGCAGGACGGGTACAGACCCTTTGCTCAACCCCAACCCCTTATGCTGATTTGACTGACGTGAGAGCTGACCATTAAATGCAAAGTCATGTTTTCCAGGTTCCTAGAGTGACACATCACCTCCACTTGATCTACGACCACTACTGAGGAGCACCTATCACTCTCTAGTTTTACTTGCTGCCTATTTTAGGCAATGCTTAGGACTGAAATATCTTTTTCATTAGTTTGTACAAAGGGTTTAGTTAATCTGCAATTATTTTAGCCATTTTTTACACTCGGAAACCTATGATTTTGAGTTTAACTAGTAAACATTATTAAACCTTTTTAATTGTTTACCTAAAAAGACACAAGCAAAATAAAAGAAAAATACTGAAAAAAGCCCTAAGCTAAGATTCATCCTTCAATTGGCAGTAGCCAGGCTGATCATCATTACTGACATCTAACCCCCTTACTGTCATCTAACCCCCTTACTGTATTTCGTTCTTCCTCAGCCTTCAGTTTTGCCCCAGAACACCACAGTTTTGTTTCCTTGGTGGAAAGGGCATAGAGAACTTTGTACTGACCCACCAGCCACCCTCACGGTCTGGAGGAGTCAAAACAAGCATGTTGGGGATGGCCGAGTCAAAAGAAAGCCAGAACAGAAGAGGAAGAAAAAGTGACTAAGGTACTATTAGCGTCAGAGCCATCTTATCTAATTCGTAGCCAAAACCAAGCTTAACTCTCCTTCCCCAGCCCCCGATGAACAGCCTACATAGCACACCAGCTTATGCGAACGTGTTAGTTAAATATAAAATCTTACAGGTCTTTTACTTCATCCCCACCCACCGAGGAGCCGCACTGCTGTGTGGCTGGGACTCGCTGCTTCCCCAGCACATCCATGTAATACAAGAACATGAATGAGTTAATTGGTAAATATGTTCTCATCCCTGAGGATTCAGTGGGATCTTTGTTGCTTTCCTGCTAATGTGTGAAAATTAACCTAAATATGTGTTCCCGTGTTTAAACTCTTTGGATGAAAGCGTGTGTGTGTGTGTGTGTCTCACAGTGCACTTGAAGAGCCTGTTACAGTGAAGCCACAGCTTCAACTGATGTTTCTAGTGTAACTGGAGAAAAAGGAGAGAAGCAAGTTCTAAGGGAGGAGGAAAAAACCCCAAACCCTCAACCCTTACATTTCCAACATCCATTTCTACTTTCAGCAGGTGAGAAAGGGCTCCCAGACCTGTTGTGAAAGGGAAAAAGGATCAGGAGCTGCTCACCCAGCTCTACTGTATTTCCCACCAGTTAAGCCATTCTGAAAGTTCATGGCTCATTTTCTCAGCTCAAACTTCAAAGGGGGGTGGGGGTGGGGTGGGGAAATCAATTTAAAGATAGTAAAGTTGAACAAACAAGGTACTATTTTGGTGGAAAAACAGTCCTAACCCAAGAACCTCTTGTATAAACTTAAAGTTACTTCCCAACTGCATTTATGCTCTGAAGCCCAGATTCCAGATTGTTGTAAAAATTTTGGTAATTTCAGGGCAGGTAAAAAAGAAAAAACACAAAACAGAAAAAACAAACAAGTTAAAAGACATAAGGTTATTAGTTTCATTTGTCCTTTCAGTTTCCCCACAAAGCAGCATTTCCTACAGCCCACAGCTGCCCACCTGCCAGCCCGTTTCACCGGGCACGACCATCCATCAAGCGCTCTGCTCTCCGAGCTGCTTTTGGCAGCTCAATAAACACAGTTGAACAGGTTCATTCAGGGAACCGAAATGCCCATCAGCCCAGGGTGCTCAGAGATGTAATGAGTTTCGAACTCGCCAGCCTATGCCAATGCCTACCAGGGACATGGTAGAGGATTCAGCAATTATTTAGAAGACGCAAGGGCTCACCTGGAAGAGCTAACACTGCCCAACTCCAAGGAGGTTGGAGGAGAGCGTGAGTTATCCTCTACTACAGCCAATGCCTCAGTAGCTCACTTTTGCATTCACTACATTTTTTTTTTAAAGCTAGGAGATAGCAAAGCTGAGGATCTATGTGTTTAATTACTAGATGCTGCAGAAAGACTGTGTAATTACACTGTTTGCACTCTGGTTGATTCCATTCTATTCTCCCAATTCATTTAAGCGCAAATAGCCTGGTTAGCTCCCTAATCAGGAAGCCTATAAATACCGCAGCCAAAGCACTAAGCACAGCCCTACCTGCCCCCCCCAACCTGGGTAAGGGAGCCCCAGGTCCCACACACTCACAGGCATCCAGGACCCTGCTGCCCAGCTCCCACTGCACAGACCCTCACAGCTGCAGCCCTTCAGGGAGTGGGGTCCAGGACCCGGGGCGCACCCCTATGCCCAGCTAACCTGGGGTAACCCATGGTGCAAGACTGGGGGGTTTGCAGGACCTGGAGTCCTGCATCCCCATCCAGTCAAGCTAATACCAGTATTAAGGACCTACAGTGCATCCCTACGCCAGCTGGTCCAGGGGCTGCAGGACCTGGGGTGCACCCCCATGCCCAGTCAGTCCAGAGGGTGCAGGAAACAGGGTGCACCCCCATGCCCAGCTGGTCAAAAAAATGCAGGACCTGGGCTGCACCCTCATGCCCAGCCACTTTGTGGGTGCAGGACTCAGGAAAGGGGGTACAGGATCCAGACTGCACCCCCATGCCAAGCTGGTCCGGGAGATGCAGGACCAAGGTGCACCTCATTCCCAGCTGTCCCAGGGTGTGCAGGGCAAAGGGATGCAGGACCCAGACTGCACCCCAAGTGCCCAGCCAGTCTAGGAGGTGCAAGATCCGGACAAGTGGGTGCAGGACCTGGGCTGCAACGCCATGCCCAGCCAGCCCAGGGGCACAGGATCTAGAAAAGGAGTTGCCCGATCTGGGTACCCCTATGCCCAGCCAGTCTGGGAGATGCAGGACCTGGGCTGCACCCCATCCCCAGCTGGCCAGGGGTGCAGGACCCGAGGAATAACCTTGCTGCTAAGCCGGTCGTGGGGTGCAGGATCCGGCAACGAGGGTGCAGGACCCGCGGGGCACTCCCGTGCCCACGCAGCCTGTGGTTGCAGGATCCAGGCAAGTGGATACAGGAGCTGGGGGGCAGCCTCTTGCCCAGCCTGTCCGGGAGTGCACAGCCCCGCGGATGCAGAACCCGGGAGATAACGCCGATCCCGAGCTGGCTGGATGGGTGCAGGACCCGGGCAAAGGGATGCAGGACCCGGGCTGCACCCCCGCGCCCACCCAGCCCGCGGCTGCAGGACCCGCGCAAGGCGATACAGGCTCCAGGCTGCACCCCCACGCCCACCCGGTCGGGGGTTGCAGGAACGGGGTACAACCCGTCCCTAACGGATCCAGGGGGTGCAGGACCCGAGGAACAGCCCCGATCCCGAGCCGGTGCAGGATCCGGGCAGGGGGAGAGGCAGGATCCGGGCAGGGGGACCACTCACATCGAGGATGACGGAGGTGCCCTTCCTCTGCGCGGCGGCGGTGCCCGGGGTGAGCAGCTCCCGCTCGGCGACGCCCTTGTCGCTCATCCTGGCCACCGCCCAGCGCAGCAGCCCGTCCAGCCCGCGGAGCGCCGGCGGCGGGCT